ACATATATTGGCCTAATATTGCTATTATATCGTATGTCAATGGCCATTTGGTCTAATAACAGAGTCTCCACTTCATTGAAAGTAATCCTGAATTCAAATCTCATGGACACGACAATTGTTATCCATCCTTATATTAGCATGAATTGATGTTGACCTTTGAAATGATAGTTAGAGTTGCACATCGATTCATATTCAAAAGGAACGTAATTCTCTCCCTCAATGAATCTGATAGTATGCGGGTCCTATATTTTTGTTTTCACCATTGGCCATCCATACACGGAATCTGTTAGCCAATCCAAGATGCACACTTGTAGTGCAGGTTAGTGATTTTATATGCATGTTTAGCTTAAATATGTGTATGGTAGACAATAGAGAAGAGTTTAGTGTAAATATTTTTGTAAATAATTATTCTTTGTTTGGTACAGGTCTGGTGGATAAGTTTCTTTTAGTATATCAACATGGTTGAAGTTTCCAGGTATTTTTTTATTCTTATATTTTTAATTCTTGACTTTATCTTCAATATTAACTTTTCCAAAGTTATAAAAGAAAATGGTTTTCCTCTTTGTTAATTGAGAATCATCTGCAGTTATGATTTCAGATCTGTAGATAACTTGTTGTTGCTGATATTGCTACACGGGAGGAGAATATAACAGCTTGGAAAATGTGCAAGAAGAGAGCACTAACTCATACACCGAAGAACAAATTGATGAAGTTAAGATCAAATTAGTAGAATTTGTGAGCTCTCCATTATTTATAATTATAGGTAGGAAGTGTGTATATACTAGAGCAAAGATTGGTTGACTATGTAATAACAATTGAATTTTCAAGTTTTATGAAAGAAATAATTTTTACTTCGCAGAATAGTATTGTTAGAGTTCGGTGGCGATTTATTTTCCATGTCTAAATTGTAGTCTGTAATGGATGTGTGTGTATTGTATGTAGATTGACTTAATATTTCTGTCCTATTGCATGTGTATTGTACTAATATTGCCTATGTATTGTATACATATTGTATGCATATTGCCACCGTATTGCATGTATATTGTGATGCTATTGCTGTCGTATTGCGATTATATTGCCCTAATATTGATTCTCTAATGTATGTATATTGGCCTAATATTGCTATTATATTGTATGTATATTGACTACAGCTCATCAATGGGTTTACGGTTTAAGCCATACTTCATTCAAAAAGAAGAAGAGGAGGAGAAAGAAACAACGTGCCTTTCAAAAACAGGCAATCAGGTGCATCATAATTGCACCATAAGACATTGTAAGAAATTATATTAAAAAATAATAACAACTAAAAAATAATTTACAAAAAAAGGAAGGTATGAATAAAAAGATAGAGAGCAAGAGAGCGAATAGGGGGAGAAAAAGACAGAACGAAGCTAGAGAGAGAGGCAGAGAGAGAAAGAGCTGCGTTGTAGAAAGAGAGCAAAGAGAGAGACAGAGAGTTGCACTACAGAGAGACAAAGAGATAGCCAAGAGAGAGGCAGAGAGCTGCGATAGACAGATACCAAAGATAAAGAGAGATGTGCCAGAGAGATTGAGCTGAGTGAGCTAAGAGAGAACAAAATTTCTGAACATGTCAAAAATCAGCAATAAGTGGACAATAATTATATTTTTATATGTGATATTGTAATTCTATTGCTATCGTATTGTGGTTATATTGCTCTAATATTGCCTCTATAGTGTACATATATTGGCATAAAACTGCTATTATATTGTATGTCAATGGCCATTTGGTCTAATAACAGAGTCTCCACTTCGTTGAAAGTAATCCTGAATTCAAATCTCATGGGCACGATAATTGTTATGTATCCTTATATTAGCATGAATTGATGTTGACCTTTGAAATGATAGTTGGAGTTGCACATCAATTCATATTCAAAAGGAAAGTAATTCTCTCCCTTAATGAATCTTCGTTCAAAAGAATGCAGCTATCAAATATTGGGTACAAAAATGCAAGATCCACAATAAATTAATTTGCCACAAACCACATATTACAAAACCGGGATGATTTTTGGCATGCTTGAAAAGACAAGGGCCAAATACAAAAGAAAAGAAAATCCATTCAAGCTCCTCACTAAACATGGCTCAAGCACTCGACCATGGTTTCAATCTAAACCTACCCAACAAGGGCATACCACGTGTACATCGTAACAGAGGAGTGGTATTTACAAAGCATGAACTGCAATATGTTTCTTTTTCTCCTAAACAAAATTGTTACTAAAATGGAACAAAAGATCCCTAACATAGAACAATACAAGCAAAGATAGTCAATTGTCATACACACAAAATTAGTCCTCATCCATCCCTGCAGGCTGATCTCTCTTACTAGGGTCACCTGCTAGTTTTGCCATTATAATCTGCAAGATAGTCAAAGCATTGTCAAGTTTTCCGCCTTATGTGTGCCCACAGTTAGAACAAGCAAGCCAAGAGAATATGATAAAACTAAACTTATACGTATCAAGTCTAAAAGAACAAATAATGTACAATAAGTAGGACCCTTTTTGCCAAAACAAAGCATATTGGATCCATATCAGCAAAGCAATAAGAATTGTCCAATTTGGAAATCTCCAACTCAATCACCAATGTCATAAATCAATATTAATAACAATTTCACGAATCAAGCACAATCTTGGATACTGCACTTCTGTTTC